GAAAGCATGAAATAAAAGAGCAAAATGTAGTCGCAGTGACAGAGATAGTATCGATCACAAAATGTGGGATTGCGCCGTCAGATGAACACGACTTATACGTCCTGCATCTGTTCGTCGCATCCTACGGGCGCAAGGCGGCACGGATGCCCAACATGAGTCGGCTGACGCATCCCCTACCCTTTGGAACGCCTGTGGGCACATATCCTAGTCATTCCCAAGGGGATACCCTAATTACGTTTCACAGCGATGAAAAAAAATCATCAACTGCTGAAGAATGATTCTCCTATATATTCTCATGTCGTAAAGTTGAATGTTTTCATTGCAATTTTGAAATAAAATATTTTGGCAATTGCGATCAATGTTTTCTCATGTGTTAGCCTTTAATGTCAAGTTATGAAAGTGGAAATAAGCGATTCCATATAATCGTATAGTAGAAAAATTGGTGGTGGGTGAACCGCAGTGTAAAAGGGGGCACGAAAGACACGACCGAAATCGAGGGATAATCATGAGGGTTTCACATTCAATTGTGCGCTGATCAATCTGTCAATCTGTTCGTACAAAACTGGAGGAAAATTTCGCAGATGTGAGGGTAACGAAATCACTGTTTGAGAGTCGAATTTTATGACGTAATTGGCATCAGATTTCTTCTCATTCACGAAGTAAATGATTCCAAGTCACATACAATTCGCTAGAAATCAATACAGAACTTTGACCGCCAACTACTTGGATAATGGCTAGTGTCTCGGGATCAATAACAATTCCATTGGACCTCACAGCTTTTTCTTTTATTCCTCGTACAAGTTTTGTTTCCACTCTCCCTTCCACAATCTTCTGTGATCAATGGTGTTCTCGTGACTGAAATACGTCAGAAAGAATCCACGCCTTCTTTCTCTACGTTGCACCATTGTCCAAGGTTAGAAGGCTACACGGATGGATGCAAAAAACTGTAGAGGTGGACGGAAGGGAAAAAAATAGAGAGATACTCGATGAAATTTAAGGCGGGTTATACAAATAAAGGCCTATCGAAACCGACTTGCTCGCGCTGTGAAAAATGTCGTGATGCCTAATTGATGTCCAATTATCGGTTCTGAATTGACTGAGCACGGACTCGTTTAATTATGAGAAGAAATCCTTCAGCAGTTTATATATATATATATATATATATATATATATATATATATATTTCCTATTGGTTATATTGATTGAAATTAATTAATATTTATTTTGGCCGCATAATGTAGTGATTTGTAGTGTAGTGAATGAGGGAAAATAAATTTTGTAACGAGCTGTACGGTCCATCAAATGACTCGTATCGATTGGCTGTGTCCAACAGACTCTAGAGACTGAGCACAGTGGAGTAGTTAGAGGGGTTCTCTCTTCCCCTCGACTCTAGTCTTCCTTGATTTTTCTTTTTCCCCTGGGTTGACGAGGGTTATATTTCTGCAGCGCAAAGAAGCTCCAAGAGGGGTAAAAAAGAGGTTAAATCCTCAATCGACCAATCTAACAATCAGTCAAAACGACATTAAAATCGCAAAGATAATTCCACAACTGCGCTAACCAAGCACAATAAAACCACCGAAAAGAAGAAACAACGTACATTATATCCATAAATCGTAAATGACCGCAATGGAGAATGAGACAAACCAAAGAGTGAAGAGCAGTTTTACGGTCTCTTAATGGGACAATAATGACGGCGAAGCACCAGCTACTGAGTTTCAGAACCTGTGTTTTAAGTTCAGTAGAAATAAAGAGAGAGAGAGGCGAGAGGTAAAAAAGGAACGAGCGCTCTAGTGGGCCTTTATATTTTGGCGTTTAAGATTTGCAGAATGAGGTGATGAGAAATGAGTCTGGGACAAACTCATTCCAAAATAGAGAGCTGAGCAGGTGTACACCACGGTTATGTATTCACTCTCTTGAGTCATATACCTTTCTTCAATATTCAACTGAAAATTTCCCAAGGTTGTGGGCTGTTTAGAGTACACTCACACATATTTCTCATTTTTATATTTCTCTAGTCGACTTGGAGAGCCACTCGGGCATTCAGAGTGGCCATTGCACGCTCGATTAGACTGGCTCAACTCCCACATCCGGTTCATTCATGTCACACAGCATTTTCCATGAATATAATGAGGTATTTTTGTACGGGCTTATTGTCCCACTGTATAGAGTCATTGAAACCAGCGATAGAGTCACGAATATATCGGGAAAAAATGAACCACTCAACGTTAGATTCAAATACAGCTCGACTCGAAATCCAGTGTAACATTGAAAAGGAGGAAAAAAAAACAAGTGCATGTGAAGGCGTGGTGGAGCGTGACGGAATCGTTAAATCATAATCAGAGGTTGGTCCTGCAACAGGGGACGATTTGGTTGCGCGAAACCCGTTACCAACGACATAGAAATTATTAATTGGATTTTACCTATGATTGTCCCCTACAGCAATTACATTCAATGTCTCGCAGACTTTTAGACTATTTTCCAGTAATTAATGGAATATGAATATAAATATTATGTGCTAGAAATTTTAACAATTAATTTATCAATATATTTGGATTGCTGAATTAAAAAAGAATAATGATAAAAGAGTGGAAATTTGGTAATGCGAAAGCAAAAGATTAAGCACCTCTGGAACAAGACTGAATGCACTCAAGTCCTCGGGGATCGAGGGGTCCGGGTGCCCCGTGAACACGGGCGTAGTTAGGTCCCCCTAAAAATCCAGGCACGTTTGTCTGTCTACTCCCTCTTCGACGCCAAATCCTTTTTGCAATTAGCAAAACCGGACGAACGGGTTCTCCGGGCTGGAGCATTCCGCAAATTCTGGGGGCCTTCGGGCGCGCGAAATCGAGCAAATCGATACGCTGGGGATGTTTAGCCCGCGAGAGATGAGTAACCGGAGAACAAAGAGAGCTATACGATTTTATGGGATTGAAAAGAGAGTAAATAAGAGTGACTAGAAAATCCCTCTTTTCTAATTCGGTACTTAAAAATTCAATACTATTCATATTGGCGTTAATAGGAGAAAAAAATTAATAAAAAGTAAAAGATAATGGAAAGGACAAAAAGGAATAGCCAACTCAACCCACCTGAAAATCACTGTTTAAAGATTATTAGCCGTTTTCCATAACTTCGATTTCTCACAGTTTTGAGGTTATAGTTCAGTCTCCGTACAAGATGATAGACCCGAGTGGAAATTCCTTCAGGCCCACCTAAAACACGGTCAGAACTTGATCAGGTTTTTGTAAGGTTCGACTGATCCGGTGATTCCTGATAAGAACCTGACCAAGTTCTGATCCAGCAGATCGAATGCGAAAAACTACTATATTTATTTATTAGTGTTATTGTTATTATCATTATTATTATTCATTAATGAAATAAATAAAAATTTAATTGAACATATTTTATCTCTGAGAATACACACGCACATCCGCGAGATCAGGAATAATCGTAAATTCAACGAATATCCCGATACAAATCATGTAAGCAATGTACAGTTTACTAAATAGTAATAGCGCGATAGCGTAGTGGTTAGGGCATAGTATTAGCAATCATAGGGTTTCCGGTTCGATCCCCAGCATCGGTAAAAAAAATAATAAGCTTTTTCAGAGGTAATAACAGTAGAGATTCATTAAGAGAAGTGGCCTACAGTGAAAGAATTGAATTATCTTTTGTTTTGGATTCATTATCATTGATAATTGTTATTGATACTGACAGACAGGTCATCCGGTTTTCATACAGTTGACTTGATCAAGTTCGGATCCATTCGTCCTGATCAAATCCGGATTGGTCAGAGGCGTAACATGGCTGATCAGTGGTCAGGTCTAACCTGATCCAAACTTGATCAAAACCTGACCGAAATTTCCATTCGGGGAGGGACTGTAGGGGAATAAAATTCCTAGAATTACGTATTCCACACTTTACTCGCGCTCGGAGAGGGAAATAATTTGATTTCATATTCTTCGTATAAGATACTAAATGATTTCCATTTTTTCTCATTATTTCAGTATAATTTTTATTGTGAACCGCAAAAGTTGGAATATAATATATTGTTCCTTTTTAAAATCACAATTTAGACACTTGGAATAAATTAATTTATGAATAGAGGCCTGAGGGGCATAATTGAGACTTTCATGACAATTTTAATTTTTTTTTTTTAATTGGGATGGGTAGTAGGGGAAAAATCATATATATGAATCAACGAGGGTTAAACAACAAACTTCATAAAATTTATTTAAAAAATCTAATCTGACGTCTAAAAATAAAGAAAGTTTAATTTTTCCACACGTAGATTTTGTACATGCTTCATTACAAAAATGAGGGTTAAACAACTGTGAGGATTAAATAAGGCAGGAGTTGAAAGTAATCATAGGGATCAAAGGAGAGACACCAGCGGGGTTATTAAAGGGGTCAAATGAGTGAAACGCGTATAATGACCCTTGTTATTCAGCAGAGTTGAGATCGAAAGGGTCAAATCAGAGACCCAATTGAGGGTCACGTCTTGCAAGGGTTAAATGTCGCAAGGATCTCCAACGTTTCAAAACTCACGCCTCGTGTTGAATGCCCCTCAACCATACGGGTCAACCGGGAGAGGCAGGCAGGACAATAACTAGGGACAAACGCAGGGGCAGGGACGGACTTCACTCTGAATGGTATGGAATACTTCATATCCATGAATACTCAATAATTCATATTTCATCCTCAGAAAATAACGTGGCAATTTCGTGATTTCGTTGATTCTTCCCGCTGCTCAAACTCAACTCGGAAAATGACGTGAGTGGACGATTAATATGGAGGTAGCAAAGTTAGGCGAGAAAAATACTAGTAATCTACCAAGTTTTTGAGACGTAAAAGAATAGTATATTACGTTGCAAGGGCGGTAACTCAGCGATTACACTTGAGCGCGCGAAGCGCGCGACAGTGTAATTTGCTGAGTTACCGGCCGAGCAGCGTATACTATTTTTGCTTGCAAGTGCGTGATTGTAGGTTAGGTATGCGTACCAATACCCATTGCTCGTTAATCTTGGAGCTATTGTCATCACATTAATTGTATTATTGACAGATTTTGATAATGTCTCTGTTGACACGGGAACAATTTAATGCATTTGTCGAACGTGCTCCTGACAATGATTATCTAGCAGTCAAGGTAATTATCATCTTATATACTATTCTTGGCAATGTCCACTTTTATAATTTTTTTAGTTTAAGGCTATTTCTCTGGTAGGCCAAGAATTATGTTAAAAGTACATAAAAATATATAGGTTGCACAAATTCCATGCTGCATAAATTATTTCAAGTTCAAAAAGTTCTAAAAATCATCATTCATTCTCAATTCTTGTGGTTATCTGTTTTTTAGATCTGCTTCATGGTTGGTGCCTCAGGATGTTTGAGGAGAAAGGAATTGTGGAGACTTGAGAATCAAGATGTTACTGACAATGGACACCAGTTGATCTTGGAAATTCCACGTACTAAATGGAATTATCCCCGTAGATTCATCATCAGTGATGATTGGTATTTAAAGACAAAAGAATACATGATTCTTCGTCCAGCTAATAATCACCACGATTATTTCATGCTCAAGTATGCTAAAGGGAGATGTTCAAGAAGCAGGATGAGTTCTGAAGAAATTCGTATGACTCCAAAAGTAATTGCTGAGTACTTGGAGCTGGCAGAGCCTCAGAATTATCTAAGATTTAACATATCCAATTTCTGGGAATGATTTTATGTCAAATGTAAAACCCTATGTAAAATAACTTCACAGAATAAAAAAAAATTTGTATGAGAGATAAAAAATGACATATTTGTATCATTCTAGTGAATTAGGAAATACTCTATTCGGATATTTTCTCACATTTTCATTTTCTATCATTTTTGTCGATCGATATTCGTTGGAAAAACTTGGCCGAATTTTTACTGGACATTCAATTCGATGAGAAAAAGAAAATTTAAATTTATGAAGGGAANAATGCATTTGTCGAACGTGCTCCTGACAATGATTATCTAGCAGTCAAGGTGATTATCATCTTATATACTATTCTTGGCAATGTCCACTTTTATAATTTTTTTAGTTTAAGGCTATTTCTCTGGTAGGCCAAGAATTATGTTAAAAGTACATAAAAATATATAGGTTGCACAAATTCCATGCTGCATAAATTATTTCAAGTTCAAAAAGTTCTAAAAATCATCATTCATTCTCAATTCTTGTGGTTATCTGTTTTTTAGATCTGCTTCATGGTTGGTGCCTCAGGATGTTTGAGGAGAAAGGAATTGTGGAGACTTGAGAATCAAGATGTTACTGACAATGGACACCAGTTGATCTTGGAAATTCCACGTACTAAATGGAATTATCCCCGTAGATTCATCATCAGTGATGATTGGTATTTAAAGACAAAAGAATACATGATTCTTCGTCCAGCTAATAATCACCACGATTATTTCATGCTCAAGTATGCTAAAGGGAGATGTTCAAGAAGCAGGATGAGTTCTGAAGAAATTCGTATGACTCCAAAAGTAATTGCTGAGTACTTGGAGCTGGCAGAGCCTCAGAATTATCTAAGATTTAACATATCCAATTTCTGGGAATGATTTTATGTCAAATGTAAAACCCTATGTAAAATAACTTCACAGAATAAAAAAAAATTTGTATGAGAGATAAAAAATGACATATTTGTATCATTCTAGTGAATTAGGAAATACTCTATTCGGATATTTTCTCACATTTTCATTTTCTATCATTTTTGTCGATCGATATTCGTTGGAAAAACTTGGCCAAATTTTTACTGGACATTCAGATTTATCCGATGAGAAAAAGAAAATTTAAATTTATGAAGGGAAAGGTTTGCAGGGATTCCATTTAATTTTGTTACAGAGGGGATATTTTTTCAAAAAGATGAATTTTATTTTAAAATAATCTCAAAGTCATCTCCAAACGTTCTTAATAAGTATCGTGCCTTTCTTTTACTATTCTCCATATTATGAAAAAAAACTTCTTTCAGAATGTTCTTCAGAAATAACATTATTGTTCTCCTCTTTATGGTCATATTCAAAATGAGTTGTTTAGTTTCTCACTGATAATAAAATATAAATACCATTTTCCATGACATTCTAGTAGCCTTATAACTTCATTTTGTGTCATAACACGTTATATATATATATAACACCACATAACTGTTGACATAGTTTTAGCTTTGGTAAATCCATTCCCTTAAATATTATTTAACATTATAATATTAAAATTTTAAGGATCTCATGTCTTAGTTTTTTACGATAATTGGCGTCAATGGAAAAACATACACATCATGTTTACTGAACTCTTATGAGTATAGTGACTATACATAAGCAATATTATTCAGTCTTCAAGATTACTCGTCTTTGATTTATTGATAAAAGTTGAATATTCTCTAGTCCAGTCTCTCTTTTACTTGAAGTAAATGTTGTTGTGGCAGTTTGTAAAATTAAAATTCACAGTTTTGGCTGATGGCATGCTCTGCAATACCTTCGTGACATTCCAATTTTCCTCGTTTTCGAAATTCATGTTCGGAGAGCCTGGTAGTGGTGATTTCCCCCTGGGATTTTCCTCATGTTCAACATTGATGTTGGAAGACTTTGATGTTGATGATTCTTTATTGGAGTTTGCTGTGTCCTCAATGTCGATGTGTGGAGTATTTGTGTTTGTCGATGTAGATGGCTGAAGATTAAATTTTTCAATCAATTCCGTCGCGCATGTGAATCCCACTGACTTTTTTGTGGCGTTAGCTGAATGTGGCGGTTTTGAAGTCTGCTTCTGACCTGATCTAACAAATGACTTCAAGATTGTCTTGCAACGATTATTCTTGTTCACATCTGAGTCCTCCGCGTATCCTTTGGCTGAATTGAAGGATTCCCATCCACCAAACGCCATGATCTCTATCACGCTCGCTCCAGTATTTGCAAACTGAGATGTCCCTGCACGACGGAAGCAATGACCAGTATATAGTTCTGGATTTGGTAGTTGTAAAAATCCAGCGATTGTTTTCGCGAAAGAAGCAATTTTGTTTCTGCTAATCGGTTGATTCGTACACTTTCCTTTTTGATAATTCAAGAAAACTTTAGGCACTGTTGCATGGTCAGGTGGTAACTTCAGGTATTTTTGAACAATATCATAATACTCTCCCAGAACAGAAAAAGATCTTGGTTTCTTGGTTTTGGTGTCGAGAAGATGAACCTTGAAAAAAGACTCGTTGGTTTCGTTGTCAACACAGTCATGCACGTGATCCAATTGTAATTTCCACATTTCAATTGCTCTGCAACCGCCACAGAGGCCAAAAATTAGAGCAACCTACAAAAAAAAGGGGGTTATGTATATAAGGTATAAAAAATAATTTATCATCAGTCTTTTCTACATTCATTTGATTGTTCACCTTCTCCACTAGATACACCTCATCTGGAGCTTCGCGAATAAATTTTGAAGTTTGATGCTCCCAAAGAACTGCAGTTTTTTTAGGCTCGTAACCTTTTTTCATTCTCTTTAAAAAATGAATAACCTCATTGTATTTGCCCAGATCAATCTTGTGGAACCTGTTGACGACACATTTAATACCAGAGTATGTAGCCCAGAGACTATTTGGAGCCCATGATTCTGATTTCTCACTAAAGTACGCCAATACCACCTCCTCAGAAAAAATATGTTCAGCTGAATTGTCCTGGAACTCATTTTCCTCGATCCACTTTCTGTATTTTTTGTATGCTCTTATGTACCTCAGGCGTGATTTCGCTGGCAGTGCTTTATCCCTTGCGTTTTCAATTGCTCTGAGAACATTCTGTGGGAGTGGTGGAAGATCACTGGATGACTCTTCGTCATTTTCCATCTGATTTGGTGTTTGATCGTCCTCAATTAATTCTTCATCAATTTCATCGTCATCATCACAATTCATTTCTCCACATCCATCGCCCTCCATAAACACAGATTCAAACATAAGATTAGTTTTCATCGTCTCCCCATGGATCGTAATCTCAGTAGTATTCATTTTTTATTGAAAAATCAACTGATCGAGATTTCCACAATGTTGTTTTCGCGAGGGACTGTAATCGAGGTTATGACGATTGAGATGTATATTCCGGTGATTTTTGCTCACTGGAGTGTATTCGGCGTGATTACACTCGCCGTTGACATTTTAGTATAGTACGTCTCAGCGATGGTGGCGCCGCATGTTATCGCCGCGTTTACCATTCAAACAGTGACATGTAAACGCTGTGATTACACGCACGTGCAAGGAAAAAGTAATTTACCAAAGAAAATTCAGACCTTTTTCTAATAATGAGAAGGCTCTCCCGTTTGGCCTCGCGAGAGTCAAATGTTGCAACGATCATATCTAGTGAGAGTTAAACGTAGTGACCAGGGTCATACCTTGCGAGGGCCAAACTTTGCGCAGAGCATATCTTGCGAGGATACAAAGACGACGAGAGTAAAACGACAGAGGCAGACAAGATCATGGCAAGGGTCGGCCGGGGAGGGCCAGATGCTGATGATCAGAATCAAACTAGAAGAATACGCAGGACAATGATCAAGCGGAAGTCTTCTGATTATTTTGCTAGATTTATGATCATTCGACTTTTGTGATGATCCTGCATGCCTTTGTCTTTTGACCCTTGTGATCATGACCCTCGCCAGGTATGACTCTCGTGATTCGTGTGATCCTCCCTTTTCCTTCCCAACTATTTCATACTGATATGAGGCAGACCGCAGGTCGCCACTCTGGCCGAAGAGAGATAAACAAGGGAATCACAAAAATTGAACATGAGAGTCAAGCGAAAGAACTTTCTGAACATTCGACCTTTGTGATTGTTCAGCCTGCCTTTCCTAGTTGATCCTCACCCGAGGCACGACACTCGCGAAGCATGAGCCTTTTGATAACGTGTAACTGACGCGGGATATGACTCTTGCGCAGTATGATCCTGACGAGATAGGACGTTTAAAACACTTGACCCCCGTAAGGAATGACCTTCGTGAGTACTCATCGTTATGATAAGGGTTTTTTAAACCAGTGATATACCTTTCTTACCATCCAGAGATAAATTACCACTATTCTACTATGTACAGTATAAAAAACTATAATTTTCAATAAACGACTCAATCCTGATTATGATCCTGTGACGTTCTACTCTTGTAAGGTATCACCCTAACGACTTTAAAAAAAAAAAAATTCTAAGAGAATTAGAATTTAGAGAGAAAAATTTCCGCTTCACCCAGCCGGGAATCGAACCCGGGTCTCCCAGATACGCGCCGGGCACTCTTACCGACTAAGCTACCGGGAACCACAGAAATTCACTCTCAAATTCACCTCAAACACCGCCTAACCTCCTTTAGGCATTAAACCCTTTACAAAAAAATGACCCTTGCATTCGCTGTTTCGAATATGAAATTTCCGTTGGAATTATTTCCGACCAATTCTTGTCCAGACATATTTCTCTAATTTTGTCTCAATTCAACAAGAAATCATTAAATTCTTCTGTTATCTTATATCTTGTCACAGTCGATTTATCTTGTTTCTTTTCTCTCTTGCGGCAATACTACATTTGACCCTATTGATGTCACCCATCACTCCATTCATTTCTTTCATTTAGCCTTCGTGATCATTGATCATCCACTCGTCTCCCACGTTTGGCCATTGCGATCACTCCCTTCGTACTTCTCCTTTCACTCTTTTCATCTCTCCACTCGTATCTTTTGCGTTTGACCCTTTCAAGAACAATCAGAGACATGAA